CCCATGTTGATAACAACCCGTTTCTTGGTCTTCTTCTTTGTGATGAGAAGCGCCATCATCTCTTGTTGTCCTTTGGCTAAGTTCATGAGAGTCTCTTGGAACGGTGTGTGTTGAGTTTGCAGATCTTTGACGGTTTTCTCCAGAGCCATCTTATACTGAAATAAACAGTAAAAAGATAAGGAAAACTGTATCGGAAAACCTACTTATGACATGATGCATGTTATATGGATGTAACGTTTTCAAGGACCTCGGGAGATTTAAATTTGCTAGCCAAAAAAGAAACAAAAACAACAATTGCATTAATAAGTTCAAAAAAATTACAATTTCCCCTTGGGCTTACAATGGAAAAAGCAAAAGGTATGAAAGAGACAACAAAGTGAATTCCTAAAAAAAAGACTCAAGTCTCTCACAGGCGCTTCCTCTTCGTGTCGATGTAGGCATTCATGCTTTGCTCCTCGTGAAGTTGCTTTGTGAACTCTAACACTTTCTTCTCGCTTGCATAGAATCGAGCTCCAAAGGTGTCTCGTTCTCCTTTGAGTTGAACCTAGGACTTCTGTAACTCTTCGAGGTCGGTAGGCATGTTAGGATGGAGATTGGTATAAGGAATGTTCCCTTCGGCAACGGGCTCCATAACTATTGGTAGGATAGCTGGATACGACATCATGAGGTTTTGAGCGCGAGCTCGCACCCATTTAAGATAAGGCTCCAAAGGGATAGAGTTCTTATGCCCCAAAGTCTTTCTATCAACTTTTCTTACCATGCCCCAAGCTCGTACAAACCTTTGACGATAACCTTGAACATCGTTTCTCGTAGTCAAATATAATACCCTGGATAAGTGCGTCATGTGGACCGTCTCTTCGAGCATACCCAAATTTTTGTAGAGTTATAAGTAATGCCTCCCCTAATGCTAAGGAGTGGAACATTAGAGAATTCCCGATAGCGGTTAATGATAGTAACATATTCCAGAGACCGGGAACACCAATAGATATCCGAATGAGAGAGCGACATCATCCTTTGAGACCACCTACATTCTTCAATACCGATCGGGGAAGGTGCGAAATAAACTACCTAGATAGCAACGGTATGCAACACATAAGAGCCCCTCTCCTCCTCATGGTACAAGTGCGAAGAGTATGCAAAATGTCTCCGAGCAAAGTAGGCACAGGGTTACAAGAAAGGAAAATTTTGACAATATTCACATCTATGAGTTGGTCTAGATTAGGGAACAGTACTAACCCATAGATTAGAAGAGCCAAGACTTTTTCAAAATCTTGCAAATCCATAGCCTCCCAAAACAGTCGGGCCTTCTCTACCAGAAACTTAGCTAGAAAACCCTCGACTCCAATCATTGTTTCCGAATTAGCTACAATGTAGGACCTTTCAAATGTAAGGCCTTGACAATAACTTCAGGTTTTGGAGTTTCCTCTAAACCAGTGAATGACATTTGATCAAGGACTGGTACTCCCAATTATTGAGATAATTCTTCCATTGTAGGCACTAATTGGTAATAAGGAAAGGTGAAGCAATGATGTACAAGGTCAAAGAACTGAAAGAGCACACACATCATGTTTTCTTCAAAGCTTGAGGTAGCCAATCTGAGTAGTCCACCATATCTTTTGGTGAATGGAGAATCTTCAGGAACCCTTGATTCTAACTCTTTGAGTTGAGGAGGCACCCTTATGAAGCTGATTTGGATGGTATTTCTGCGAGCGAGAACCATATCCTACAAAATAGAACAAAGATAAATCCCTAGATACTTGAAATGGTTAGTAAAATGCTATGGCATGATGTCATGATGCTATGAACAAATAATCATACACAAACAAAACACACAAGGCCTTAGGTTTAGGCTTGCATGGGGTTTATAGGTAAGTACCCTCTTGAAGTTTAGTTGGCTCAACCTGTCCTAAAAGAAGTAACTGGGTTCTATGAGCCTCAATATCACTGATCTTTCTTCATCGGGCATTGTCTTAGCTCAAGCATCCATTGCAGCCAAAATATCCCAAAAGTTTGATCTCAATTAGTGTAGTATCGAGTATCAACCAACTTTAGTCTGCACCAAAGTCGGTTATTTCACTACTTTCTAATGGCCAAGTTGTTCAACTAAGGTTCTACGGTCAGTTAGTGCTTCATGAAACCACACAGTGGCCCTGTATTCTCCTTGATTCAACACAAGGGACATTGGTACCAACAAATTTGTCACACTAATGTAGCCATCGCTTCAACCATATCGATCTAGATCGTACAGTCTCCACGGCCTATTTCTACTTACCTAAAATGTGCCATATCTAGGTATAGAATCTATACAAGCAATAAACCCAAGCAATAACCCAAAATACAAACATACAAATCAAGCAAGTAAAGCAATAAAGGTGATCTAGCTCTTTAGGTAACCCTACTTAAATCCATCATTTCCACAGCAGAGTTGCCAATTCTGTAATACGGTGGGAGAACTAACTTGGTATTTTACGTTTTACCACAAATGTTGCGAATAGCAAGAGTCGCCACTGACTTTTCTTTTATCCAATAAAGGAAAGGGTGAAAACAACAGGAAATACCTTTTGAGAATTTTCTTGAGTTCGGGGGGTAGGTTATGAAAAGGGAAGGTGTTAGCATCCTTTTCATCTGTAGTTATCTACGGGCTCTTAATTGCTAGCTCACTTTGAAATGCTTTGTGAATGTTTTTTGAAAATATTTTGAAAAGTTCCTTCGTTTGGCAAACTTTGTAATGATTCTCGTATCGTTGAGAACACATACAAAGTGTTGGTTTTGAAAATATTTCAAAAAAATGAGTGTTTGGATAGATGTTTTGAGGGTGTGAGGTGTAAAGATTGTTTTAGTTTGTGAGCAAGCAATTACGAGCAATCTACCTACTCAAAAAGTATTTGTTCTTTTCCTTCTCCTTTAGGTAGTTTTATTTTTCCATTGGTTGGTAGGAAGCCTGAACATTGGATGTGAGGGACAGGCGCGGGTCATCGTACAGTCATAGAAGGCAACTTGTGGGACGCTTTAGCAATTTTTGTAAGGGACTAAGATCGTTTTACCGAAGGCAGCATCAAAGGGTCATCGAGGGACTACGGTCTTTTTCTATCGAGGGTCTTTGCTAAAGCGTCCCATATTCGAGGGACATGACTATTTTTATTCGAGTCAACAAATGTGGGTTACCCTAGAGGTGCGTGTGTGAAAAGTATTTTGTTTTTAGTAAATTTGTCTTAATTAGGGTTATCTAGCGGTTGATTTTAAATCTTGCCATACACGCCTAATTACTATAAAATAATAAGTAAACACAGTAAAGTGAGGAAAATAAAATTCTACGCTATTACAATGCTTCGGGGAATTGGGGGTACAAGTTTGTGAATGAGGGAATGAGTCGAATCGTCAATACGATTAAAAAGTCTAAATAAGCAATCAATACAACCCAATCGAATTAAAAATATATAATTAATTAAACTAAAACTAACTATTAAATAAAATTAATCAGCAAAATAATTAATAATATTAAAATAATATTTTTAGTATTTTTGTTTATCATGAAGAAAATAAAACAATTAGAAGAAATCAACTAAAAAATAAAATGTTAATTAACAAAATTAATTATTCACAAAAATTCCTAAACTAAATTTAAAAACTAAACTAATTAAGAAAACTGTTTAGTTAAGAAACTATATTATTATTAAATGAATTTAAAATCTAAACTATAAAAGTTAAGAAAATATATAAACAAAATAACCAAAATAAGGGGTGTTGAACCAAAACTATTGAGGGGTAGCATAGTTCATTGGGCTGAGTCAGGGAGGAGAGGCCCAAAATTGTTTTTTGTTAGTGTCCAACAGAAATACAAAAAAAAAAGGGGGGGGGGGGGGGGGGGGGGGGGGGGGGGTTAATGAGAAAAATAGAAAAAATGAAGAAAAAAAATGTCCCAGGGGGTCTCGAACCCGGGACCTCATGAATATCACACACACTCTAACTGCTACACCACATATTCATTGGTATATTATGGCGCTTCCATTAATACATAAACTGAAGTTTGGAAATTGGATTGGGCTAAACAAAACAGGCCCAACCAGGATCAAACTAGAGGGAATAGAGAGGACTTGTTGCAAACCTAATTCAGGAGAAAGGGGTGTCGCAGATTGCTCATTGGGGGGGGGGGGAGGGGGGGTTAATGAGAAAAATAGAAAAAATGAAGAGAAAAAATGTCCCAGGGGGTCTTGAACCCGAGACCTCATGAATATCACACACACTCTAACTGCTACACCACATATTCATTGGTATATTATGGCGCTTCCATTAATACATAAACTGAAGTTTGGAAATTGGATTGGGCTAAACAAAACAGGCCCAACCAGGATCCAACTAGAGGGAATAGAGAGGGCTTGTTGCAAACCCTAATTCAGGAGAAAGGGGGTGTCGCGGATTGCTCATTGGGAAGAGGAGGAAAGTTATAATTAATTATTTTTATTCCCAATTTTATTCAATTAAACCAACATAAACTCTCATCTTTCACAAATCTTATGTTACTTCTCTGCTTCACATTTCAGTTTCACGCTCTCCATCTCCTAATTTCCCTCAAGTCTCAACCGTAAAACAAGCAAAAGTATCACAATTTTGGATCACTCCCATGCTCTGCTTCACGGTTCAAGCTCATCTCTTCCTCTCCGAAGATTTAAGGTTACGGTGGAAGATGCAGGGAGCACTTTGTGTCACAGAGTTTATTGCGGCGAAGAGCACACACCAGTGTGGTTCGACGGGATGTTGTTAGTTTATGGAGGAGGAAGAGAGCAGGCTGTGGGTAGAAGAGTATGAGGAGATGGTAGGCGGTTGGTGTGGTGATGGTGTCCACTGGTGGTTGTGACTGAAATCCTCCGTACTGGGTTATTCACGGTGTAGTTGTGTTGGACGTTTGTGATGGTAAGGTTTGGTATGAAGATGAAAAAAGGTTGTTGGATTAGTGGTGTGAATGATAGATGGAAGATTGAAGGGAAAAAGGCGCTGGAAGTATGAGAGGAGAAGAGGGAATTTATTCAGTTTTCTCAGATTTCCTCAAGCTCTGCGTTTTCGTTTCATACCCGTTGTTTCACGTCTCTTCCTCACTCACTCGGTCAGAACCAACAACAACAATCCAGTTCATCTCAAGTGGTATGTCTCTCTTAATCTCAGCCTTATTTTAACTATGTTTTATTGTTCATTCTGCCTTTTCGTTTTTAATGTTCTCGGTGATGATAACAAATTACGGTTATCTTCTATTCAGATTTTAGTAATTTCGAATCACTCCCCAAAGAACTGGACAATAACAACATGGTTCAAATTCAAATTCCATCATCAAAATAACAATAAGGTGACATAATCAACTCAGAAAAAACAAGCAAGGAGATGCAATAATGATGGAGGAAAGGTACCTGTTAGAGTTTCTCTGATGGAGTTTCAAAAGAGTTAATTTGAAATCCTTCTGAAGCGCGTTTAATTCTATGTTTCTTCTCCTCTTTCCGTCTGAAACTATTTTGGTATAGTTGATTTGTTGCTTCTATTTGCAGGTCTGGTTTTTTTATGGAGGTTTATGTGAGTGAGTATGAAACTTGGCTGTTGCAGAGTTTGGAGATTATTTTTGACAAAGTTTTAGGGAGAGGTTAGAATATATTTTTTGCTCTGTATTTTTCTTCCTTCTTTGTTGCATTTATAAGTGAGAAATATGAGATTTTAAGGGGGGGGGGGGGGGGAATTGATGAGTTTGAACTATTTTGGTTATTGTTTCAATGTCTTTCTAATGCAGTTTTTGTCTTTTCTAATTTGGTGCAATATTTGGATGTTTATGACAGGTTTTGGAGCAGTAACACAAGGGCTGGTTTTACAGGTTATCTAGGTACATCATGAGCAAGGTTTTGGACTTTGTGATAGGCAGGTTTTATGCAGCAATAGTAGGGTTGTTTTTGTGCAATTGTCGGACTGCTACAATGCAGATTTTTGGACTGTTTTGCAGGGAAAATTAGCAGCTAGTGCAGTGATGTTTTCTTTATGTATATAGCAGCAACAACAGGGCTTTTTTTATGCAATTGTTGAACTGCTACAATGCAGCTTTTTGGACTGTTATGATGCAGGTTTTTATTTGGCACATTTCGGGCAAGTTTTTAGCAAGGTTTGTGGACTGTTTTGGCAGCAGTAACAGGGCTAGACATCAAAGTTTTTTGCAAGGTTTGTGGACTGGTATAGTAGGTTTGTTGCTTTGTGTACAGTAGGGGTGTTTAAGAAAATTCACGATTTTTGACGAGTCATGAAGAATTGAAGAAGTTTGAAGAAGCAAGGCATGAAAATTTTTAAACTCAATGGAAAGTTTAGCATAGGTTTATAATTTTCATGTAACTTTTAAGTATTTTGAGTTTGAAACTCAAAAGTCTTGTATCATGATGAATTCATTCAAAGTTTCATTTTGAACTCTTATGTAATTCTTCTTCTTGACGCTTGAATGCACTTGAAAAAATTTCCTTGGTGACCTCATGACAATTAGGAACTTGAATTGATTCTTGAATTTAAAATAATGGTGAATTGAATGATACATGAATGAAGTTTGATCTTGAGAATGGACATTTCAACAATGATACATGAATGTTGAATGTATTTGAAACTTTCAATCAATTCGAACCTAATGGCATTTTCCAAGTGAACCTTCAAATCATTTTCAATGAGACCCTAATCCAAATATTCAATTCATGGTAACTTGCAATACAAGCCAATAGTACTTGAAAGAATAATGATGCCTTAAGAACTTTGGTCTAAAATCCACTTTCATCCAATAATCACCAAATGCTCAGACATAAGTAACTTGAAAAAGCAACAAACGTTCAAAGAATTCTCGAACTCGACATCTTGTACCATGAACAATCCTAACCTAAGAATTAATGTCTCAAGAAAACAATTATGGCACGACTTGAAGTTAGAAGTTAAGAACATTCTAAATCAAGAAAATGACCTATAATGTTTCGATAAGTTCCATGGCCCTTAAAGCATAATTTGATTCCAATCCTTGGTGAAAACTTGTAGATGACATTGTCTCTGAGAATGTGTGAAAAGAATCGCCTTAAAATGTTTAAGATTGAGGAAGTTATGATCCGCGAAAGTCGGGCAACAACTACTTGAAATTAGGTCAAACTCGTAAAATAACCTCTAAAGTATTCGAGATTCCAATGATCCTCTGCGCATAATTAACTCTTGACTTGTAAAGAGAAGTTGGAGATGACGTCAAGAAGAGTCATGTGCAAAAAGAACCACTCAAAAATATTGAATAATGAAGAAGTTATGGTCGTTTTAACTTGAACTTACAAACGTTGACTTTTTGCCCAATATAGTTGATTTTTAGTCATCTGAACCATTGACTGAGCAAACTTGTGATGAAAGGTTAGAAACTTAACATGAGCATCCTTGAGGACTTATGAAGAACCATGAAAACCACTTGAGACTTTGGAAACTCAATATCCCTTGAGAAATACAAAACCCTAGTTGTGGACCCATTGTTTAGAAGGAGAATTTGTCTGATCAATTCTTGAGCCACCTTGAATATTTGAGAATCCTAGGAGAATATCTTGAATGAAAAATAAGTGAAAAATTTTTGGGGTACAACAGTAAGCAAGAAGTTACTAGAGTAAGGCATTGGTGAAGATTTTTTAAGTATTCTCAACTCTTAGTGTGATCATTATAAATAGAGTATTATTTAAAAAGAATCATATTTATATTGTAGTAGTTATTATAATAAGAATCATCAAACAAATATATATATTGAAATTTTCAGTTTTATTTATTGTTAGGTAGGCCCAACCCTCGATGATGCTTAAATTGTACAAAAAGTCCATTTTCAGTTTGCATAATGGACTGACTTTGCAAAATGGATTGACATGCATATATAACACTATACATAATTTTGTTTATATATCATAATTAAGCTTGATATTGCAAAATGTTGTGTCATGTTTTGTAGTATATTTCAAAGGATGTATTAGCTTTAAGAAATAGATTTCTCTATGATGTTATTGACTAATGAATGATTTTAAGATTAATATATATTTATATTTTAGTTATATGCTTACCAAAGTGTTTTATTACCTCATTACTTGATTATTTTATAAATCATTTGTTCACATACAATAAAATTAAAATATTGTGCATGATTTAAGTATAGATGTTGAAATAAATCATTTGGTTTGTAATGTTTTTAGATTGAATATAAAGGATAATTAGAACACTGGAAATAGAAGAGAAATTTTCATTGATTGGAAAGGATTAATACAACAGAACTCAAAATACATAATCATGAAGAAATGCAAAAAGATATTATGAAGAAAACCCAAATACATCATCAATTATTTTGTTTTTATATTTCATGTAGATCCAATATTGAGCCACATTCGGTCTCAAAAATCCATACCACTCTATTCCGCTCCGCTCCATCCGATTCGATCAATCCAAACAAAGCCTAAAGTAAGTGTAGCAAGATGATATTGCATTGGATGTGTGATAAGACTAGAAATAGAAATATTAGAGAGAGTGTTAAGATAACACCTATAATAGAGAAGATGGTAGAAAATAGACTTAGATGGTAAAAAAAAAATCCTTTAAACTTATGGGATATTCATTAAAATTTCTCTAAAACTGAAGAAAAAAATTTAGTTTAATAAATATTTCAATAAAATAAAATAAAGTTGGACTTAAGGGTGTAATCGAATCGGTTTGGACAATTTTTTGATCAAAAAAAGGTCTAAATCGATGATATTTCCACCAGTTTGGATTGGTTCGGTTTTCAATATTTTTCAAAAATAGAATCGAACTAAACTAATCAATTTGGTTTGGTTTGGTTTAATTCAGTTGATCGATTTACCATATTTATTTTTTCAAATATTATATTCATCAGTATATTCTCTATTATCGTGTTAACAAATTATAAGTTGCTCTTAATTCATACAAAATATTGACATGATTTCCATTGCATTATGAAATAAGTTCACTATCAAATACTTCTTCCATTTCAAAATGAGCGTCGTTTAAAGTTTTTGCACACAGATTAAGGAATGCAATCATATTGTCATGAGACATTGCACTTTTACTAAATTAGCTTTATTAATTTATTAGAAGTAGTGTGCATAGTAATAATTATAGAACACAATTGGGAAAATAACTATTATTACTACATTGAAAAGTGAGAATGACATTCATTTTGAAATAATTTTTTTCTCTAAAACGACACTCATTTTGAAATGGATGGAGGATAAAAGTTAACACTTGACATCAAAATGTCGGAAAGAGATTTTAAAGCTTAACAAATAGAACACAACAAAACACACATCAATTAACATGTTTCACACCTCAAATATACATCAAAACTATTTTGTAATAAGACTAGAAGGAAATTTATTGAAGAAGAAGAAACAAAAAAGATTAAAAAAATATGAAAATTAATAAAGAGAACTTGCACATGAAAAGACGACCATAACATTTCAGAATGACGATAGTGAGAGGATCAATGGTGGCAGCATCCGTTCAATGAAAGTATGTTTCTTGTAACTTATGGTGCTACTTTCTATGTTGAGGAATTTGGTTCTAGATACGTGTTTTTCTTAAAAGAATGAAGTGTAAATAAAGATGGATAATGGTTTGACCGATAAAAAATTTGAGCTTAATGATGCGTGGAATAGAATATTTAAAACGACATTATTTCCATTGGTCTAGTTCATCGTTTTGACGGTTCCTAAAAACTAAAATTAAAAATCGAATCAAACCACATCGATTTTTATTAGTTCGGTTTAATTTTAGAACTAAATCAAAATTAATCGGTTTTATTTCAATTTAATTTAGTTTGAATTGTCGATTTAATTAGAATTTTCTAATTTACTTACACCCCTAGTTAAACTTGTTGACATTACGGTGAACTTCTATAATTTTTCTATAATTTTAGAAAATCACTCCAGTTTGAACTTCTATAATTTTTCTACAATTTTAGAAAATCACTCTCCAGTTTTTGCAAAATCAGAGTGGGTTATCGTAAATTCTACGAATCAATTTTGATATTAAAATATACACCAAAGAATAATTGCGATGATGAATAGCATAAAATAATTGTTTGCAAGACTGATGATATTTTCACATTTGATTTCGATAGATATTTATAGGCTACATGACAAAGCACGAGACACGTTTAGACATCTTAAGCGAGGTGACTTCTATTTCAACACATGAAATGAGAATCACCATCAAGAACTTCTCAAAATTGACGATCGTAACAGGATCATTGATTTTCTCTCACAAGTTTGACAAAGGAGCTTCCATCAAATGATGCCCAATATTTATGA